GGTTTTTTTTCCACTTCCCAAAACAGAAAGGAAAAAAATTCTTATTGGTTTCTACCTTTTCACAATAACAATCCCAACATTATCAAGTATCATCTTCCCTGAATTCACTGGAGCATTTTTGGGACATCCAGAGATGTCATGTAACTTAAACAAAGACAGAAATATTTTCAAACAAGATAGCTTTTTGCCATGGTGCTCATTAAGCCAATGATGTTAACTGTATTGTCAAAGCAACCAAAAATGTTCAGTTTTTCATCTCTTTGTATTGTCATTTCAGAATTTATCTAGTCACTGTTGGAGCTCTCGAACATTAACAAAGCCTCAACAACTGAACAACCCTGTACACCCTTCCTAACAAGATACCCAGGTGGCCCATGACAGGATCAAGAGCCTTTCTAGCTTGTGCTCACCACTGGCACCATAGGAGGTGGCAGCAAAGAGGGATCCAGTGACAGGCTGAGGTAAAACTCCTCAGGAACCACAGAGCTGTAAGGACAGTGCATCTCAGCAGAGACTCTGTTAAGGGCTCATTCTTTGGTCTGCTTGGGCTGATCATTTTTGGGAATCCACAAGTTCACACTAGCTGTGGAAGGTGCACACTCACTGCACCAGTAGCAGGGTAAACACCAAACAAGAAAATCTTTAATCATAATATTGTGGTGGTTCTGACTATTTTTTAATGTACTTTTTGTTATGCACTTCTATTGTTAGCAAACCCTTGTTTCTGCTGGCCAGTGCAGTATCCTGTATGTTGTTAACATTTATGTTAGTGCTTCCTCGTGTAAGAGAAGCTGTGATTGAAGCTTTTGAATTCAACCAAATTTAGTGATCCATTTGTTGCTGATTGAATCAGATCTTCCACTGACTGACTATGCACATTCCCTTGGTCCTCCAAGGACACCCCAGAGGTCTTGTGACACTTGTATAACTAAGTCATTTTAATATGCTCATATCTATCTACACACATACGTATATTTCTTTTGTCAAGAACTCATCCTGTTGAACTGAAAAATCTAGAGCATTTGCTTCCAGGTACTTCCAAGTACTACTGGATATTTTGTTGCGCACATATATAGTGGAAGTCACAATTTCTCCTTTTAGAAAACTTTCCCTCAGATGCACTGTATATACTCTGCCTCCCTAGCAGGTCTCCTACAGAAATCTGCACAATTTCTTGTGCACTGTATCACTAATATAAAAATGAATGTATGGAACAAAAAGGGTGAATACATGTGGTGAACTGAAGCACTCTGCAAATGTAACAGGAAAGTTCTCTCAAAAGACCAAGAGTGGGTGGCTGCAAGGCCCTCTCAGTGAGAAGCTTCTAATATGTGATCCTTTTAATGTGATATTTACAGGCTCAGAGAGTCATCTACCAACATGACTGATTAAGAGCATGCCCCTTGTCCCATCCACAAACCAAGAGCTCTGCTGCTGATCCAGGCAGCTCTAAGTGCTTGTAATTCTGTTTTCGTTGGTAACTTTGGCAAGCTGACAGGTTGAAATTTTCCCATCACCTGAAATCCACTTGTGTTGGCTGTTTTCCATAATGAAATTAAATTGAGCATGACAACATTAAAAAAAACAATATTTGCAATCACTTCCTTGGGAAGCTTCTCACTGTGGGCTGTCTAGCAGGATTGCTGTGACTGGCAGCAAGATCTTCTAGCATAGGCTTTTCTCAAATCAGGACCCTATGCAGAAAAAAGGTATTTCCCCTCCTTCATGCATGCTTCATTCAGCATGTTACCTATCCTGCAGCCACTTACACGTAGGGGTATAGTCTGCCATGCAGAGTTCAAAGGAGTCAATAGGATTAAACACCAGAGCATAGCTGTCTGCAAGGTGAAAATCTTACATTTAATCTCTTTAAAAGATAACACCTGCAAAGGCTCTCACACACACCAGGATGAAACAACACTTACTAATGGAAATCCTCAGCCACAAATATTGAGACTCAGGTGAAAGGAAGCTTCAAACATATCCTGTTACAGATGATACAAGGCTGTGCAAAGCTTGAAGGGCTCTCTAACAAAGTTTACAAGGTTCAAATATGTATGTATACACAGAGACCAAGGCCTTTATTTGCTTTCTTTCTGTAGCACTGCTGCAGAAACCTCTGTAACTGAAAGAAGTGGTGCAATTAGAAATCAATTCATCACCTCATACAAAACACATGCAGATGAGTGAAACAGTCCAAATATAGTGACGTCACTGAAAGCAACATCCAGTGCGATGTTGGTAATTTATGGTTTTTTATGGTTTTATGGTAATTATGGTTAAGCTATCTGAAGAAATTTAGTTTTGCCCCACTGCAGGTGAAATCAAGACCAAACATGGGCCAATGCAACATACATTACACAGGTACATATACACATATAATATTATATAACCAGCAACTATCAACAGTATTTGAAGATCGTTGGTCAGATAGACCAGCATTCCATGCCAGCATAATTGGAACAATTATCCTACAACTTTGGGCCTCAAAAACAATGGGGACAATTACCACTTAAGTAAAACAGCATCTCACCTGAGACTTGATGGCGTAATTAAGGATGGGAGAAAAAATGGTAAGAAGGGACATAAAGCCCCATTCAAGTTAGATGAATCAGCTTCCTTGAGAATAATGCACTTTCTGGTCATGTTGAAACCCAAAGTTACTTTTCCCAGACAGCCTGAACATTTCCCCTTTTATAGGCCACCTATTGCTTTCCCAGTCCATTCCCTGCTCCTTTGCCCCACTCTGGGCAGACCCATGAGCTCTTACACAACCAGCACATTTTCCCCCGGTAGAGGCAGGGCCCTGAGCCACACTTGCACATGTGGAGTTCTGCATGGAGAGTGAGTGACAGCTTCAGAAAGATCTGTGTCTGGCAGACCTGGCCTTTCCTCATCTCTGCTGCAGACAAATGTTGCCCAGCATTTCACAGCAGCTTAAGTGAGCATGCAGGTGTGCCACATACATCAGGTTGTTGACCCTGATTTTTCTTGTCTGTTTTTTTCCCAAAAATCTGACTTAGCCCTCACTACATTAAATCATCACTTCAGCCACACCAGTTGCTAATGTCAGCACAGGGAGGAAAGAGAAGACCACCCCATCTGGAGAAAGACAAATTCACAAGTGGCATAAACCCAGAGCAAACCTGTACGTGCAGAGCCCTTCTTCCTAAGCCTTTGGAAATGGCAGGTAATCCCACCCTCCCAAACCCTGTGTTTCACCCATGCAATGCTGGCACTGATTCCCCAGGGTGCACAACATTTCTTACACGTCTGGACACATCCCTACAGGAGAGGCCCAACACCTGACATCCACAGCCTGGATGCAGTACGTGAGCTCGGGCAGGCTGCTTCCAGCTGATGGATTCCGAGGAGGGGCAGGAAGCAGAAGTTCCTGGATGGTCATACCAAACATCTGTGAGCTGGGGCTGGGACAGGTACTCAGAATGCTGTGACAAACTTTTCAAGAAAACCCCAACAAAAAACCCCAACCCCAAAACGTGGAACCTCTCTAACATCACAGTCATACCACACCATGATATATTGTGAATCAGCTAATCAGGAATGGATTACCATGTGAAACATGGATAGAAACACAGCTGATTTAGCAGGTACTTAGGGACCCAAACCACCTTTTTTTGTGCATGCTGGGCAGAGAAGACTACTTTGCTTGACTTTACTGTTTAAAAGTAAATATGTAATTTATAGGAAAGGATTTTTTTTCAAGAATACCTATTGTAGGTTCTGAGTTGATCTGAATTAATTTGGAAATTCAAAGGAAATCCATACCTGAATACACAAACAAGAAAGCATGAACTTTGAAGCAGATACTCTGCTATGGATATAGAGAAAATTGTTAGCCAAGCAGAGAAAGGATTAGGATAGAAATGGAATTAACATCCACTATTTTTGGCTTAGCTTCAGATAGCTTATGAGGGGATCTAGGCTGCTTTCACTAATTCCACTGAACTACTTTAAAGCAACAAATGTGCATTGTGCTATGACTTATGATTAAAGTTGTGACCTATTTAATGTACCAATAAATTTGGTCTCAAAATACTATGTATAATGTATGTTATCAATGTATGTTATCAAATATCAAAGACATTTGCTGGTAAATTATGATTCTAAAATTCATCAGTATTCTGGTGTTTCACACATGTACTTTTAATTACAGTTTTGACAACAAACACAAGTGGATATAAAGAGGAATACTTGCTTCCAAATATGTCAATATATAAAGCAAGATTTCATGTAATACAATAATACCACATGTATGATCATATTTAGCTCCTGTATTATGTATCTGTTAGTGATGGCTTTCTTCCCTACATTGGCAGGCTTCCAAAGAGTGATAAGACAAAGAAGAGATCCACAAAACAAATCATGGTTTTCATAACGAGGATAGTAACATTGGATACCAACATAAGACAATACGTTAATAACAAAAGAAATCCAACCATGCTTTCATTTCCTCTAACAATCAAAGAGCAAATCTGCAAAATGCCATAAAAGTAACACAGCTGCTGGATCCTTCTAGGATGTTTTATTTGGAGAACTGTCTCAGGAAAAAATCTGCACTGCACTGTAACTTAGTGAGTTACATGATGGTGAGTATGCTCTTTCATTGAATGATCATAAAATGGTTTGGTTTGGAAGGGACCTTAAAGATTATCTAGTTCCAACCCATGGCAGGGATGCCACTCACTGGATTGAGTTGCTCAAGGCCCCATCCAACCTGCCCTTGAAAAGTTCCAGGGATGAGATATG